TGCCGGTATTTTGATTTTATCATATTTTCATTCACACGCGGGTATGCACGTGCGCGTACACACACACACACACACACACACACACACACACACACACACGGAATAGCAATGCTTACTTTGAATCTCAGATGCTTGCAAGAAATTCTTTGAAGGGGGACCTCCGGGGTCAAAATTTAATATGCATTTTTTAAATTTTGAAAACTATTGCCCATGTTTCCTCTCTAACGGTAGTTCTGTTCTGTACATCAAGATTATTGTATGAGGATAAAGATCTCCACAGCCTCATGCACGCAGTGAATGCTCCGACTCGGAGTTTTGCCCATCTGCTTGGTGATGAATGGCACTTCAATGCTCATGTATCTCGCAATGAATGAAGCAAATCCTTTCATGTACCGAAGAGTCTTGTTTCTGCTGTGAATGCTCTTCACACCCTCTGCACAATTTCCTACCGGAATGTATAGCATACTTGTTAGTGCTCCCACCAACTTCCTTCTGACATTCACTTCTACAGACTGCAAGCTGCTTGTGCAGTCAAACACCTGCTATACTTTGCTTGTAGTTTTTTTTTTTTTTCCTGGACACAGCAGAATGTTTAGCGAGTATAGAGGAAAAATCAGGAGTACTGGAAAAAGGATACCTTGGAAGCACCTCTCACTCAGTGATAAAGAGGAAGTGGGGTGAAGACCAGTTTTCTTTCTCCTTGATGATGATAAGCCTCAGTCATGCTAAGTATTGCTGGGGGTCCCCAGCAGAACTGAGCTCCAGCTCCCCACTGGGGTGACGCTCTTTAAGACTCAAACCTCATTTCTACCCTGCTCTGTCTAACCACCACTTACGGATTCAATTTCTAGAATGAGCTAGTTGCACTATAATGCTTGCCTCAAGACCAGTTTCCAAAGGTACCAAGCGAAGGTATGCTCTTAGCCCCACTGAATGCTCTGCCAGGTGTGATCTGCAGGTAGAACTTGTTTATGAGGTTGTTGTGGGAAAATATTTCATGCAAGATACATAATTTCTTTTTTTATGTATTTGGTACAAGGTTTCAGTATGCAGCTTGGACTTGAAATGATCATCCCATGATCATCCTCCCCAGCACTGGGATTATAGGTGTGTGGCACCACACCTAGCCTCTGGGTCTGTGTGGCCATCTCAGCATGCTCAGGGGTGGGCTGAGGTGGCATGTGGTGCCAGGGATCAAACCTGGGTCCCTGTGCTTACCGAAGCAGGCAGCAGGCACTTAGTCTGCTGAGCTATCTTGCTGGCCCAAGATAGATAATTTCTAAGATTATTTTATAATATTCACCCAAAAAGTCAAACACAAAAGAGTGCAGGAGATCTGTCCACACACTAAAGACCCAAAGAATATAGGTGAAGGCCTAGATCTCACAGCAGTGTCCACCACATGTCCAGCTGAGTGCCTAGAGCCAGGGCAGTTGTCCTCTACAAATCCGGTGGCAGGCCTAGAGCCTGGGACAATGTTTCATGCAAATCTATTTCATGCATCTGCCCTGGAAAGGCCCAAAGGTCAGTGTTGGAAGCTAGAAGATCTGAACCAGTGGGATGAAGGATCTGTGCCAGTGTTATGGTTTGTTTCTAGGTGTGCCCCCCAAAGCGTTATGCACTCATGAGGTGGACTTCTAGAGTTTGTGATTAAGTCATGGCCTACTGGGATTATGGGTGATCCAAAATTGGGATTATGGGTCTGAGTACTGCTGGGATTATGGCTGTGAGTGTTATATCCAGCCTGAGGCAGATAGCCTGAGTGTAACATCAGAGAGACAGACTTTTTCTGTAGCCATTGTTGCCTGTTACCATTGTCGTTGCTACTCCTCCATTTTGCTTTTTGCTCTTGGCTGCTGCCATGAAGGGTTGCTTTCTGCCGTGTGCCGCTCTGCCTTGGAGCCAACTGAGTATGGACCGAAACCTACACTAACTGTGAGCTAAATAAACCTTTCCTTCCTTCATTTTGAGTGTCAGATATCTGTCACAGCAATGAGAGAAGAGTAACTGAGACAGCCACCAAGCTGAGGGATCTGCAATGGAGCTAGGAAGTGATGCTAAAAATGAGTATTAGAGCTCTCTCAAAAAGAACCACAGCCATCTTAAGTAACATGAAGGCCCTGAGCTCCTCTATGACAGCCAAGTTCCTGTTAGTGAGGCCATTATGAAAAGCTTCTCCAAGAGACTCAGTAAGCACATTGTCTTCCCCTGCTATCTCTCTTTTAATGCTGTTGGCAACAATCCTCAGGTAGGCTTCCCACACCCAGCATCATGCTGATTCATCTCATCTGGGTGTTACAAATTGACAACCAGTTAATCCACCACAGAAGTGTTATAGTTGGTGATAAATTTAGCAATTGAGATTCAAATCTGGAAAGGCAGCCAGGTATAATGGTGCATATCCGTAATACCAGCAGCACTGGGAAGCTAAGGAAGGAGATTCCAGATGTGATCTCAGCTTGGGAAGCTTGCTCACTTGTCATGACTATGTCTCCAAATGAAAAAAAAA